GTGCACACAAACGTAGAGCTGAAAGGGTGGTGGCCGAGTACTAAAAGATTAATCGTTTTTATATTGAAATTGCAATTTAAGAAAATGCAATTTTCAATTCGCAAGAGCAGCAATTTTTTTTAACAAAAATTATAACCTACATTATCAACAACACTGTGTTAAATTTTGAGCAGGGAAATTTAATCTATTAACACAAAGCTTGTGAACTGCCTAGATAAGTTACAATCAGATCCAATCAAACCTCCACATGTTGTGACATCATAACACCAACTTACTAGCTGTCTGGCACAATACATTCAGGGGTCAAGCCTCAAGCTAGAAAAAGTGGATATTCTGGTCTTTATGGCAAAAAAGTCTGAACCTTAATTTATAGAAACTAACTGCAATTTAAATCGCTGACGAAAAGTACGAGAATAGTTGCAATTAGATATTTTCCCCCGAATCGCTCAGCTCTACATAGACGTGCAGGAAGCCAAACAGAACAAAACAGACAAAATCACAATACTTCTGGTCAGATTAACGTACAATAGATATTAGATTCTCTGTGACTCTGCTGTTAGCTGGTGACCTGGCTCAGACTGGGTGACACTGATAAAAGGTCCAAATTTGGCTTTGTCATGTCAGATATTTAGATTAGCATTAACAAAGCTAATGAGACCATTCTAACCAACTACGGATGATAGTCTTACAAACCTGACAGCTTATTTTGACCGGACAAAGGGACCTTTGGTGTAACACGATATTGTAAAATAGGAAAAACTCCACTTCTTTCATTTTTATAAACTGTAAATAATTCTTCAACATACAACAAACTGAAGTCCGGAGAGAACAATATACATTGCTAACTGGTATGCACAAAACAATCATAAAAACCTGGGATACACAGTAGCCACGTTTACATGCAGCCTAATAATCCATTAATAACCCGATTCATAGCTAAATCGGAATAGAATACGTTCATGTAGACGCCTCAATCGGAATAGGCTAGACCGATTGAGGCCATTCAGAATACAATTTTTCTCCGATTGAACGAGGTGGGTAATCCTGCAAATAATCCATTAAATAGAAGAATAATATCCATGTAAACGCCTGTATCTGATTACGTTCCCTATCAGAAAGTTTAAGTCCATTGTGCATGTGCCTCATGTCATAGTGAAAGTTTATAACGTTGGCGGAGCAGAAACTGGTCTGCAGAGGAGACGAAGTTTATGCTCTGATCTTTAAAAGACGGCAGTGGGACAGGAGTCCAGCTTTTGCATCTCAGAACACGACGTCTTCCTCTCGCCCTTCTTTAATAAGGACATGTGAAGGATGTTTTCCTGAGTCTGACATCATTTTAAAGTAATTAAAAACACAAGCACTGCTCACTGCTGCTCATCTCACTCTGACTGGACCTCACATGATGTTCGCTGTCACGGTAACATTACTCTAAGTGGTTCTCCATGCACCTCATTTTGGATCAGATTACTTGTAGTGAGCATATAAAAGAAGATTTTCCATCAGACTGTTAAGTAGAGAGAGAATATAAACTCTTCAGTCTTAATCTGTAATCGGAATGTTTTCAATCAGACTGGCAAAAATCTTTGGATGTCAGCACAGCCACTGACATTGAATCTTATTGGAACAGCCAGATGACTGCTTAAAAAAATAAACCATCTGCGTCAGACATGCTTAAATTCGGCAGATTACAGCACAATATTTGGTAACATATTTATAATATTCGGGAAGAGCAGAACTTTTAGGTGACACTGGGCTAAGAGGGTGGGCAACATGGTAAAATTAACATATCACAATACTTCAAGACATCTTCATGATACACAATATTAAAAAGGCCTAAAAAGAGTCCCTTTTTAATAAAACAAGCAGTGGGCCAGTGGTCTTGGACAATATATGCATGATATGGTCACAAAAGGAGGATTATGACGATAACAAAATGTATCATGTATTGTACTGCACTTATGTATTCTATAGTACTGTACTGTATAGTATTGTACTGTACTGTTCTGTGTTCCACCCTGTTTTTTCTCTGGGTATCAACTGTGACTTTTTGTTTCTAGCAGTATCTGAGCTCAGGATGAGCCTTCTCTCTAACCTATTGGTAACTAGCAAAGATACTTTCTCTAGGTAGACAAAGCACTTCTTGTAAGTCGCTCTGGATAAGAGCGTCTGCTAAATGCTGTAAATGTAAATGTATCATGATATTACCCAGCTCTTCGCTGGGCTACTGTGCTCAAGTTTCATTCGATAGGTTAGGGAACCAGCCCAGCGACCGGTAGGTCGCCGGTTCGATCCCCTGAGCCGACAGTACGTGACTGAAGGGCCCTTGAGCAAGGCACCTAACCCCCACCTGCTCCCCGGGCGCTGTGGATAGGGCTGGCCACCGCTCCGGGCAAGTGTGCTCACTGCCCCTAGTGTGTGTGCTTTCACTAGTGTGTATGTGGTGTTTCACTGCATGGATGAGTTAAATGCGGAGGTGAAATTTCCCCACTGCGGGACTAATAAGGGTCACTTAATACATCAGCAGTGGCAGATATGCAAATAACAAGTATTAGATATCAGAACTGGCCTACAGTATTACATGATCGATGTATCCCTACAAAAAACAAACTGCTCAGCAAGAGTGACACTATTTTTATACGGGCATTATCATGGATATAAAGCTCACTGCCCATCAAATATACTGCAAAAAATATTACTAAAAGCAATACAGTACACAGGTACACTCGATATCAGGCATCCCTACACCTGGCTAACCCAACGTCTCACACTGTAATTCAGGACTGGCATTAATGTTAATGCTAGGCCCAAGTTTTAAATGTAAATATAAGCAAATGTAGGCAATGTACACTTTAAGTAAGGTTTTATGATAGAAATAGTGCTCATCATGCTACCACGGCTTATTGCTGTCTTAAACAAAATCAAAATGCTGGTTATCTAGTTAAATGGTTAGTTTAACTTAGTTTAACTTCATTGATGTTTCAAAAACTCTATGACTACATGATGGTTGAGATGTAACCAAAACCATTCAGAGTGGTTTGGTGTGAAATCCTCCATTCTAGAGAAACTTACCAAGCCAGAATTGTTCACTATGGTGGTGATAGGAACCAAACGCCTAAAGAGAGTTTAATGCCTCTAAAAGCTCCCTCACAGAAAGATATTACAAGAAAGGGTATATAGATATACACACAGTTTTAGGATAGCTTTGTAAAATATTTTGGCTTAAAATGTATTTTAATCCTTTTACTTCAATACATTCTTGGTGGAGATGTACATGTAGGGTGTTCTAAAGCAAAATAAGGCAAAGAAAACTTTTTTCCCAGATTGTCCACTACTTTACCACCATCAAAATTACATTTAAAAACTCTGAAGTTTTTGGTTTTAGATATGAACTAAAATGTCCAGCTATATCTGTGTTGTAGACATTGTGACCCCTGGTTACTTTCAGCACCACTGCATAGAAATCAGTCAGAATTTTTTTTCTACTTTGAACAATTCCTCGTCAAACCACTCTGAATGACATGTTTACATCTCAGCCACTGAATTACTCTGAAATTTAGAAAAACTGGTGGAACTGCCCTTTAAGCTGCCAGCCACAGTTCAGATAAGTGTGCAAGCACAAACCCAAACCTACATTTCCAACTTTAAGAAGCAAAACAGTAGCCACACTCCTTAATCCACAAATCCAGTTAGCCAGTTTAAGTCTTTTTAGCTACGTTTATTAACGTAGCGAACACAGCAGCGAGATGTTTTCATGTTTCTACCCAGGCCTTCTGCTTGTTTCAGCCCCCAAAAGAGTCCTAATCTGGATAAAGTGCTTGCTAAAGCGGCTCCTCTTCGGGCCTGGACCACCAAACTGACCAAAGCTAGCTTTCTTTTCCCCCCGGTGCACTTACCATTTCGAGAAAACAACGTTGTATGTATCATACTAAGTGCCTTTGTTTACTTAAACCGATAATGCAGATGTAGATGTAGTTTTATGTATGTATAACTGACCGATGCAGTTTCTACTTGTTTGCGTTGCCATAGTGAGCGCCATATATCTTAGCTTAGCATAGCTTAGCTTAGCTTAGCATAGATTTTTTTCACTACGATGCCTGAAACGTTTAGGAAAAATATATATTTATTTACTATGTTAACTACGTTTGTTCTGCGTCTTGACATCAATAATGCTGTTCTACTCGTTAGGAAATTAAATATTTATTATAACGTATAACGTTGTATCTCTAGCGTCCTGTTCGAATTTTCCCGTTCCACCTTAAATAGTGCAGCAGCAACGTTCTCAGGCCTCAAGCGCCAGAATGGAACTGCTGCACCATTTAAGGTGGACCGGGAAAGAAGCTGGCGAATAGGAAGCATTGTTTTTTAAGTTAACGTTACTGAGTTTAAAGCATTTTTAGAAGACTCTGCTTGTTTTAATGCTTTGTCCTTTCCTTGACTTCTTGACAAAAACAGCTGTTAACTGTCTAAATTAACTGGTGCAAATTCTAACTTGTTTGCGCTGCTATAGTGAGCGGACGTAGCTAAGCTAAGCTAAGCTAATATCGCTTCAACTAATATCTTTTTTCAGAAACCATGGTTTTAAGAAAACATTGCAGCCTTGCTGTTTTGGGTTTCTTCGATAATGTTAATGCACCCTAGACGAAACTAGGTCTACTAAAGAGAAGCAGACAGATTAAAGTCTTCGAGCTGATTTGGTTCATTTAGCTGAGCTAGGCTAGTTAGTAGCCAAGCCCAGCCTTGCTTGCTGAGAGCTAGCTAGCTAGGTTAGCAAGCCAATGGCAAGAAACAACAATTTTTTTGCTATTTTTAGCTATTTAGCTTAGCCAACAACCTAATGGATGTATTAGCTCAGGCTAACGAGATCTGAAACAGAGTCAAAAGCTAATGAAACCCTCGCTTAGCCCCGTTTAAAGGCGTGAGTAGCTCTATTTCACAGCACATCAGATAAACAGCCGAGGGGGAATCGCCCTTCTCGGATCACCATGAACTGTTTTGCTTACCGCTCTCCAGCTCGTTGCCTTTCTTGGCGGCCGCCGCGTTTCCCATCGTGAGGAAGAAACACACACACACCCTCACTCACTCACACACACTCTCACACACACGGAGATGGTGGAGAGAACACCGAGGAGAAGGAGGAGGAGGAGGAGAAGATGAGGAGGTCCTCTCTCCGGATCCTTTCCCTTCGTCCTGCTGCCTGTCCTTTCTGTAACTCCTCACCCCTCCGCGCCTCGGTATCTCAAAAGGCAGATTAACTTGTTCCTCCGACGGCAAACTACAGAGGAGAGGAGGGGTTGGGATGTGTGTTTGCTGAAGTCCCCCTTTCCCTTATTCCTCCACTCTTTACCTTCTCTCTGTCCCTCTCTCCGTGCGTCCCCTTGCTTTTCCCCCAGCTGTCACTGATTACAGTAAAGCTGATCTTTTCCTCCAGCTACAGTACAGAGCGCTCTCTCTCTCTCTCTCTCTCTCTCTCTCTCTCTCTCTCTCTCTCTCTCTCTCTCTCTCTCTCTCTCTCTCTCTCTCTGGGTCGTAAATCCACTAGATTTCCTCTTTTTTTAAGAGACAAGATGTTCTCTGCTGTGTTCTGCAGTGATCTGAAGAGAAAGTCACCCATCCAATACCTAAATTTAGGAAATGTAGATCTGAATGAGTTCAATGTGAGATTGTAGGCCTAATTTAACCCATTCGTGTCCAACTACACACTTAAAAAAGATGCTTCCTCAAGGGTTCTTTAATAAAGCCAGTGGTTATTTAGAACCTTGAATTCTATATAGAGAACTCTGTATAAAGAACTCATGGTTCTAAATAGAACCATTCCTTTCACTAAAGAACACTTGAAGAACTATCTTTTTTAAGTGTGTATCCAAAAATGCCACATAACTTTCTTGGGATGGTCTAAAGTGATGACATAGTATAATAATAACAATATTTATTATTATTATATTATTATTATTATTATTATTATTATTATTATTATTGATGCAACATCAAAGTGCTTTACATACAAATTAGACAAAAAAATCATGAACAATGTAAACAAAAAGATCTCGTTCTCGTTACTGGATCATTTGCTTCACAGTGTGTGGGAGATTATCTTTAAGGGTAGAAGTGGTTTTGGGCAACGGTGTGGGAAAATATATTTGATGCATCAAAAAAAAAAACTCCAATCACCAATTGATCCATTTTAAATATCGTCACAGGGTAAATTGGACACCACAGAAATGCTTTGTCACAAAATCCGCTTTAAATTCTTACTGTAAGCATTGCCCACAACAACAACAAGTGGGAACCGTCTTGCATATGTGAGGACCTTCATGACTCCAGGATAAATGTTACTACCATATTGTCTTGCCCTGGTTGGGAAAGACATCCCTGTGGATCCAGCTGTATTATTCCTTGACGATGACCCCAATTTAGCCCCAACAGGAAAACAAAGGAAGACAGGGCTTACTGGCTTTAACATCAGCCAGAAAATCACTGCACAACGATGGCTTCCCCCACATCATCTTAGTGTATGACCCTGGCTATTTCAACTACATGACATAGTACTTTTAGAATTGGCCACAGCTGGAATCAATAAAGCTAGAGCATCTACTCTTGAAACATGGAGACAAATTTGTTTTGATGTGACGAAAAGATTGGAGCAAATAGTATGATGGTTTGTATAGGCTAGCATATTGCCTTTCATTTTTGTTTTGTTCTATTCATTAATATCTTATTTAATGTGTTATTAGCAATGTAATTGACAGAGACAGAGGGGATGGGTAGACCTTCGGGGTGGGGAGGGAAAGAGCGTTGTTTTTGGTTTGTTTCAGTTAACTGTGGCATCAACTCAGTGGCGCAGGCTCAGAAGAAGGCCTGGAGTAAGCCATTTTCTGCTTTTGGAGTTGCTCTTTATTGAAACAGCAGAGAGGGGAACTAAATACAGAAGTTACAGAACTACAGAACTGAGGGGTAGGTCATCAAAAGGCAAATCTAATACAATGATAGTAAAATACTCCCAGCATGCTAATTCGCTTGAAAAGGACACAATTTACCACAACCAAAATGTTCACACATCTCAACTTTAAAACAACAACATCTAATACATTAAAGTGGACCTAAAAAGGCTGCAAAGAGGTGTAAGGCATTCTTGGAGTCTTCTACATGCTGTCTTCTGCTCTCCCCTCGGCCCAAATCTTAAGTCCAGTGGTGGCGCCACAATATGATTAAATTAGATGAAAAAAAAACTCATTTCTTAAGCCATAGAATTAGATTAATTTAAGCCTGGCTTAAAGGGGAATCCCATCAATTTTTTTCAAAATTCCTATGTAATTAAATCGTTTATTGATTGGTTCATTATAAAGAAACATACTGACTCAGATTTCTTTGCGATGGTGGTTATAGGAACCAGGACTCCCAGTGTCAACAAGACAATGATAGCCATTTTGTTATCTATGAAAAAACACCAGTGACCTACACGTGTCTTCTGCATTTTATATGTAATGTTGAGGATGACAAATCAGCGATGCGTGTGAAAAGGTAAGCTTTCTTTGGTAACCTTTTAATTAATTAATTAAATAATATTGCTTGTCTCTGACCATTCCTCAGCTACACCGATGCAGAAACACTTGTGCATGCATTAGTGACATCACAGCTAGACTACTGCAATGTTTTTCTCTCTGGTTTCCCTGTCAAAACCCTCGCTATGTTCAAAATGCCGCTGCTAGGATCGTCACCTTTTCAAAGAAGAATACCACATCACCCCTGTCTTTCAGAGTCTTCATTGGTTACCCATTACATACATGTTCAGTACATGTTCAGTATAAGGTTCAGTATATATAAAGCTCTGCACAGCCATATTTGGCTGAGCATCTTCATTTATATGTCCCATCCCCAGTCTATTCGGGATGCCACCTCTCTGTCTTCATTTAAATCTCTGTTAAAGACTTATTTGTTTTCAGTATATTGTCATTGTTCCATTTATACTTGAATGCTATATCTGTGTTTTTCTTGGATTATAAAGTGTCCTTGAGCATGGGAAAGGTGCTATATGAATAAAAGTGATGATGACGATGGCTATTTACAATGCCCTGCATGTTCCTGTCCACGATGAACGGAATTAAATAAAAAACAATTTAACATTTAACAGTGAGGGAGCTTTTAGAGACTTCCAGACCTTCCAGTTGCTATCACCACCACAGCGAGCAATTCTCACTCAGTAGGTTTCTCTAGAGCAAGCAATTTCACAACCCACCCTGAATGACTCTGTTTACATCTTAACAATTTTATGCAGAGCATTTTTTAAAAAAATTGGTGGACTTTCCCTTTTAAAGATCCTGTTCATTGATTTGGCTGATTGAACTTCCAAACTTTCCTAAAATGCAGATTTTGTCCAGCCACATGTTCAGAAGATGTTCACAGCTGCAAGCAGCTGAAAATTTGGGCCCACTTTTACTTTTGAATACCATTTTCTCTTATATTTTTAGCGCTGTTTTCGGAACAAAACCACTCTCCAAAATAGTAACTTTACAGAAGAAGGAAAAAAACTACTTTAATTTTAATGTAAGTCAATGGAACCAGAATTTTTTGTAAGTCATTCTGGGTCATTTCTTTTGGTCCATTCATCATGAAATTTACACACAATGTAAAGAACAACAGGTATTTTTATATTATGTCAACACCTGAAAAGCATCAAAAATGGAGATACAAGGTTTTCTTCCAACAACAGCGATATATTGATCTTTCCTGCCGAGAATACCCCCTCACACACATACTCTACACTCACACACACACACACACACACACACACACTCCTCCTTTGATGCTCTACTTGCACTATCTGGAACATTGCTGCTAACACTGTATTTTACTCAAGTACTGTGTATATTCTACCTCAGTAACTGCTGTCCTCACGTATGTTATCTGACTGTGTATACTCACATATCACAGCATGTTAAATATCTCTGCACCTTATTCCACTACCTCATGCTCAGAAATGAGTGCTGTGTCAGCGCTGCACTGTCCTGTCTGTTTACTGTGAGAAGTTTGGCACAGCCAGATCTGGTAAACTGGTTCCAGAGGTCCTAACTGTAAATAAGTTCACAGCAACCTCTCAGAAATCTGGTATCAGTTTGGAAATAAACAAACTTCTAATGGTCTTTTACATGGTCACAGGGAACAAACTGAACAACCAAAACCTTTTTAAAGTTTAAATGATATAATTTTCCTATGACTGAAAAAAATTGCAGTCTTCATCTCCTCCAATATCAAATAACTGTTCTTGCCAAAAGATTTTCATCTCTGTTTTGTGTTCAGTTTCTCATAGCATGAATTTCAGATGCAATGCCATCCTTAGCCAGATGAGGGCAGTGCCAGTCATTACAGTTAGAGGAGTCATAAGAGTCAGGAGATATATATATATATATATATATATATATATATATATATATATAGATAGATAGATAGATAGATAGATATAATGCAGGATGGTAATAAATATTATAATTGTTTATTTACAATTTTACAATTTAAAGTTCTCAGTTTTTTCTTATTCTTCTTATTCTCAGTTTTTATGAAGTATTTTTTTTAAATAATTAAGATGTAAACAAAGTCATTCAGAGTGGTTTGCTGTGAAATGTTCTGTTCTAGAGAAGCTTACTGAGTCAGAATTGTTTGCTGTGGTGGTGATAGGAACCAGACGTCTGAAGAGTGTAATGACTAAAAGATCTCTCACAGAAAGTTATTAGACAAAATGGTTATGAATGCCCTGCCTGATACCTGAGACATCATTTTATGGTAGTTTTTCAATCCATTCATCACAGTAAATGAGCTGATTTTTTGTTACATCACTAAAACAATGAATTCAAAACAGGCTGGATTTGCAGCTTAGCTTATATATAGACTGTATTGAGTGGGGAGAGAATGGTACATGAAAACCTTAGCAATACTACATTAAACTCTTTAATTGAAATAAAAGCTTTAAATAAAATCAGTTTCCATTATATGGATCATTTAAACCCAAAGTGAGGACTGTGCAATGATAATGCCTAATACGTGCTCCTATTTCACAGGCTTGACTTTGGGTTTAAATGATCTGTCTATTTGAAAAGTCCAGTTTTGTGAAATATCCCCCTGCTCTTGCACATCCTACAGGGACTTCCAGAACCCAAATTTCCAGACATACACACAGCGGGCAACAGCAGGATGGCTGCCAAGTGATTCCCACAAAGCATGAGTCACAGCGTACAAATACCACGAGAATCACAGCGGACACAAACCAGCCGCTTAAACCACGAGTGTTTCTATGGAGCCATTATATAAATGTCAACATAAAATATAAACATGGGATACTGTTGTGGTGACCTCAAATTAAACCCTCTGTAAAGGCACTGAAGAGAGACTGTTTATAGAACAGGCAGAGGGACGCAGAGTTCTTACACTTCTGGTTTAGATAATGAGAAATACAGCCGTGGTTTGCCCTCTACTGGACATTCAATAGGACTACATCTACTTTATTTTCTTCATTGCATTTAATTTCAAAATCTTCAGTTCTTCATTTTTTCATAATTACATACATCTACACTCACACTGAAGCCACAAAAGTGCTGTTTGATGAAAGTAAATCCTTTTGTGGGTCACTGTCAGTATGAGGTGCTTTAACTGTCCCTCAGATAGATAGATAGATAGATAGATAGATAGATACTTTATTGATCCCGAACTAAATTTAACAGCCAGTAGCAGTCACACAACACAGGACAGTTATAATAATAAGGGTGGTACAATATGAAAAGAAGAATGTACAGGCTCAGCAAAATTATCAACTATAAATAATACTGTTAATTATACATTAATATATCTTGCTTATCACAATGAGGCAGGAATATATACAAAAATCCTATCTACAGGCATATATACAACTAGAAATATACAAAAATATGCAATAAGATCTATCCTGAGATAAAAAAAGTCAGTGCAATAATGAATGATGTGCAGTAAGGTGTCCAAATGTGCAGATTAATAAAACTAAACCTATGAGTTAGCATAAGAGATTCAGTCCTCATCTATCCTCCTCCCAATTCTCTCTTTTCTTCTCGCCCCTCTGGGAAGAGTTGACGAACCTAATGGTTCTAGGGACAAAGGATCTCCTGAGTCCATGATGATGGTGTGCAGTGGCTGGCCATCATCATCCATAATGGAGAGCAGTTTGTGCAATGTCCTTCTCTCGACCACCTTAATCACCAGTCCAGTTCCACATCGACCACTGACCCCGCTCGCCTGACCAGCTTGTCCAGTCACATCTTGTCTCTCTTTTTCATGCTTCCTCCCCAGCACACCACAGCATAAAAAAGACAGCTGGCAACCACAGTCAGGAGCTTTCCACAGATGTTAAAGTACCCCAGCCTCCTCAGGAAATAGAGTCAGCTTTCTTGTACAGGATGTCTCTGTTGGCTGACCAGTCCAACCTATCATCCAGTTGCAGTCCGAGATACCTGTAGGTCCTGACCCTCTCCACTTCAACCCCCTCGGTAGTGATTGGCTGTGTGAGTGGCCCAGCCCTGCGAAAACCCACCACCATCTCCTTGGTCTTGGAAGTGTTCAGTATCAGGTTGTTCCTACGGCACCACGCCACAAAGTCCTTCACCAGGTTTCTGTAATCCTCCTCCTGCCCTCCTCTTACACACGCTACTGTCATCCGAAAACTTCTGCATGTGGCACGTCTCAGAGTTGTACTGAAATCTGAGGTGTACAATGTGAAGAGAAAAGGGGAAAGTACAGTCCCTTGTGGTGCTCCTGTGCTGCTGACTACAGTCTCTGATGTACAGTCCTTCAGCCTGACAGACTGAGGTCTGCCAGTGAGGTTGCAATCCAGGAGACCAGGCACAGATCGACTTGCATCCTTGCCAGCTTATCTCTCAGTTGGAGGGGCTGAATCGTATTAAAGGCACTGGAAAAATCAAAGAACATGACTCTTACAGCACTACCACCCTATAAGTCAAGTCAATGTCAAGTCAAAGTTTATTTATATAGCGCTTTTTACAACAGGTGTTGTCACAAATCAGCTTTACAGAAAAATCCGGGTCCACGCCCCCATGAGCATCGCTAATGGCAACAGTGGCAAGAAAAAACTCCCTAACAGCAGGATGAAGAAACCTTGAGAGAAACCAAGACTCAAAAGAGGAACCCATCCTCCTCTGGTCAATACCGGATAGCAAACAGCATCAGTATAAAATATTAGAATACGAAATAGGGAAAACAGGTGGAGCAATGATTAATTAGATAGTTTGAGTTTATGCAGCAGCAGCAGCATCAGGAAGGTCAGTTCATGCAGGTGAGGTCTGCACAGCTTTATATAATCACAAAAGTTTAATAAAAGTATTGCAAAACAATCAATTTCTCAAATGTTGTTCTGATTGGGTAAATCTTTAAGACTATATTAGTGGAGTGGCATTTGCTTTAAGAAGCATTTTATACGTTTTGTCCCATATTCTTTGACAGGATGTGGGGGATTCTGCCATGTCTGGGGTGCTGAATGGTCAGCTTCAGTGAATGTGATAAGTGACGGGATAATAAAACATAAGAACGTCATCCATATTTAATAATATAATTTCAATAATGTTGAATATTTGTGTGTGTCCCTGAAATTGTTATCCACTGTGTCATAACGAGGTTAAAGCATGTTAAAAAACACTGAACTTTGACATCAATGACATCAAAACCACCACACTGGTTTCCTTAAATGGAGTTAATAATGAGGTCTACAATTATATTCCATCATTTTCAACATATTGGATTTGTAGATGGATGTGTTCGATCTTAACATGTCTGTCACGCCAAAGTACATATTTGTCCACTTTGTCATCTTCATGTTTTACCAAAATACACAAATTATTCAGATGCAAACACCAAAGAAAGCAACTTGCATTATATAATTTTTACTAAAATATTTTTGCCGTTAGGTTTTGTTTAGAAAAGAAAGTACAGCTAGTGCAGAAAAAAAAACATATTACAGTAGATTTCATACCTGAAGAAGTTTTTAACTAAAATTGACTTCAACTATTATTGATTAATGGACACAACATTTCTCTAAAGATCAGTCATATCATTACACTGCAATGAAAATATATTTAATCTGTATTGCATTTGTCCATGACAGAGTGGACATATGTTGTGATTGATTCACAAATTGTCTGCTAGCAGTAACAAAATTAAAAGTATTTTAACTTGACATAAAGGTTTCTTGAGTGATCTACAACATACTTAATATAATCCATTTTAGAGGAAAGGAGGGCAACATAGTGACACAGTGGGTGGCACTGTCACCTCACAGAAAGAAATGTCTGGGTTTGATTCCCCGGCCGGGCAACCAGAATTATTTCTGTGTGGAGTTTTTATGTTCTCCCCGTGTCTGTGTGGGGTTCCTCCCTCATCTTCCTCTTACTATCATATACTTACTTTAAATTACTAATATCTCATCACTGTTGGAACAACACCTTGTATCTCTAAAAAAAGGAATATTATAGTAGAAAAAAAACCCTTCTCAACGTTCAATACATTGACAGAACAATTCATTTTAGAACACTTTTACTGGTCTGTTCATCATGAAATTTGAAAAACAAAAACCCTCTATTCAGCCCTAATTGTAGTAAATCAGCAAATTATCACTTGTAAGAAAACCTCACCCCAAAAAATGATTTTATAGGTATGTTTAAGATACAATAATGTGCAAAAGTCAGTGACCCTTTATTCATTTCATTTCCAATTAAAACAGCCATTAAGTACAAGTTATTCATATTTTCAAGAGAAATGTCTGAGGAGTTGGCATGTAAGATGTTGCACTGGCATAAGGAAGAAAAAAGGCAAAAGAAAAGTAGGTGAAAATATGTGAAAAAAAGGAAATGTGACTCCTGAAAGGAGAGACCCTGGTAAACCACCAAAATTGTCCCCTTCATATAAGCAGCATTTAAAGCTTTCATCTTTAAGAAAGAGGAGATAATCTAGCTCCATTTCTGCTTTGCCCATTTGAAAGGGACAAAATATTTAATATAAAGCAAAAAAGGAAGAAGATCATTTGTTCTTCTCAGAACAATAGACTGACAACACTAGACTACAAAATGCAACATGCTGTAAAGAAAACCACAATAGCAGCAAAGTGAAATACAATATCAACAACCAAAACCCCAAAACCAAAACTATGAATAGTTTTGGTTCTGAGGTTTTAACTATTCATATTGCTTTTTTGTCTATTTCCCTTTCTCCCTTCTTCATAGACAGTACAGTGCTCATGTAGAGAGTACAGCGCTGATAGAAGAAGGAAAGTATGCTCTGGTATTGGATTCTCTTATTTGGTGTTTCCTGTTTTTGGCACTGGAAATGGGCAGAAAACAAAACACTGTACTCCGTTGAGAGAAACATGGGCTTTTAAAGCCTCCTCCTTCAGCAAATCTGGAAAACACTGTAGCACTGCAAACTAAAATCCTGACCATAGTAATGACAAACAGTAATAGTTGCTAAGCAGTGATTTGAGGGCCTCGGCACAACGGAAGAGATGCTATGACATGCAGAAGCGCGGGCTTCATTCACCAACCATTCTTAAGCAGTTTTTATGAAGATTCTGACATTCACCAATGTTTTCTTCTTATCTGGGATTACTTCTTAAGTAAGAACAGAATCTACACACACTCAAGAGCACAAAGATGTGAACAGTTCTGTGGTTAAAGAACACGTCATGAATCTGACATAGACTTTTTCTTTGGACTTTTCTCAAGAACAAATTTAAGAAACAACTTAGGAAGATATTAGTGAACGAGGACCAAAGCTTTCAACACCATTGTGTGAATTTATCACTTTTAGTGTCATCTAACATGTAACAAATGAACAGTGGCCCACCAAAAATCATGGGTCTTGGTTTGCTTCCAAATCAACCCTGGCATTTTTGTGATGGTGCGCACCAAACCGGAGAATCCAACACCAGAGCACGCTTTCCGTCTTCCAGCAGTACGTCAGCCCTGTACTGTCTGCACAATCTGCCTGTTTTAACATCTGATGCTCGTATTGTTCTTGCTGCATGAGCTGCAGCTAATAACATCAGACCAGCAATAAAATAATGGTGAAGCAATGCTTTTAAATTTGGATTGCAAAACAACTGTTTCTGTTATTCTGTTTCTAAACTGTGGAACTCATTTACACCTGTTATTAAATAGTCAAGCTCAGTGCACACTTTCAAGAATCATTTGAAAATGTATCTCTTTAACTTGGAGTATAATTAAAATATCTCTGGTATTTATCTTTTTAAATATGATTTTTAAATTGATACTCATAGTTTCTAAATATCCACTTTTTACCAAAGTGATCATTTCAGACGTTCACATACTTACGCCAACAAAGGGATTTAATATTGTATCACTTTGTTTAAAACAAACTATATAATTTTGTTATTTGTTTTTATTAGGCTCTCTTTATCTACTGTTATGACTTAAATGAAGACCTGATCATATTTTAGGTCACTTTTATATAGAAAAGGCAGATCTGAAGAAGGGTCCCGAAAAAATATCTGCAGCTTTGAAAATCACAGGGATGTCTATGATTCCTAAATGGAAGACTTTTGGAACCACTGAGAACCACTGAGAACTCCAGAGGTCCTATGTGGCGCAGGTGGAAGAATCTCTGCAACACTTCACCTATGAAGTGGAGCTTGCCCAAAAGCACCTAAAGGACTCTCAGGCCATTACGAACAAGATTCTCTGATCTGATGTAAAGCAAGATTGAATTCATTAGCCTGAATGTCAAGTGTTATGGAGGAAACCAAGCACCCCTCATAACCTGCAAAAGTCCATCCCTAAAATGAAGCATGCTGGTGACAGCCTTAAGCTATGGAATGTTTTTTTCTGCAGCAGGGAATGGGAAACTTGTCAGGATTAAGGGAAAGATGAGTGGATCAAAGTACAAAGAAATCCTTGAGGAAAACCTCCTCAAAAGTAAGTTCACTTTCCAATACAACAATCATGCGAAGCACATGGTTAAAACAACACTGGAGTTTCTTCAGGACAGGTTTGTGAATGCCCTTGATTGGACTTGAACCCGACTGAACTCTTAAGAGACCTGAAAATAGCATTCCTCGCCATCCAACCTCAAAAAGCCTGCAAGGTTCTGCAAAGAGGAATGGGAGAAGATCCCCACATCCAGGTGTGCCATGCTTGTAGCATAATATGCAAGAACACTTAATGCTGTAATTGCTGCCGAGAGTGCGTTCAGAGTTGAGTGAAGGGCCTGAACACTTGTGTAAGTGTGATATTTCAGTTTTGTGTTTTTATTAATTTTTTGTATTTTTATTTATTCATTTTTATTACACTTTAGTTTCTGCTTGAAAGATTGCAAAGAAAAAAATCCATTTTAGACTAAGACTGTGACATAAAATTAGGAAAAGCAATGGTGTATAAATACTTTCCGAATGCACTGTACGTCACACAAGTGTGTTTTAAGCACAACCACTAATTGCAAAGGTGGACTTGTTAACAAAGTTAACTTGAAGTTAGTTTGGTGATCAGAAATTCTGCTTTGTGGTACACCACCATGCTTGCAGTGGCTGTATTTCCCATCATCATTACACACTTTAATGAGCATGTTGCACAGTATAAAGGACACACCAAGCCTGTTTGCCCCTGGATAGTCCCCGTACATGAGGTAAATGATAACTTGAACTCTAATAACCCTAGGGTAATTTTGTATACAATTTTGGTATTTTGGTAAATTATAGTTACAAAATATTTATGTTAGACAGTCATGCATGCCATATGTAATTTTTCAATCAGGAAACCAAAGAATACTCAGATTTGTAATTATTTAGCATGTACATGCTAACAGAGCTTTGATATAAGGATGAACCTAGGCCATTTTTGGATGATCAAAAAAGTTGTCGGTTCAGATATTTTGATGGGGGTTAATTCTATGGCTTATTACTATGAAAAAATGTATGATTAGCTTATGGCAAGCATGACTTTCTCTCCTCTTGGATCAATTCTAAAACTCCAAAAGCAGCAAGGTAGACCTTGGAATAATATTTCATTTTTATTTTCAGATTGGGTTAGATATTTATTCTAACATCAAATCCATGAAAAGTGAAACATTAAAACTGAATAAAATTTTATTATTAGATTATTTTATACTCTTTAGGAGTCTCCTACTGAGTCTATAAAACATTATAAGACATTATATTTAGTTACATTATAATAAAGTTAAAGACTCAAATATTTACAATAAAGCGGACTGAACAAATATTTTCTATAATTTTCTAAGAAGTATCACAAAGGCCCAGTTTCATGTGTTGGGATTTCCTGAAGCATGCCTGAAGCCTGAAAGACAAATGATGGACACAGAATTATTACAAGAATTGTGTATAGTAGATTGTCTACTTCAGAACAAAGAAGAAAATAAATAATAAATGTGGTGAAAACAGCACCACAAGATCCTCAATATCAGGTTAATAATCTGATTGCTAATATTGTCGCTGTTGTTCAAAAACCTTGCGTCTCCATCTTTGCACTGTGTTAAAATTTCATAAAGAGCAGAACAATAGAAATGGTTCAAAATTACTTGGAAAAAAAATGGAGTTACCATTGTGGTGATACGAGGCTTTGTTCCAACAGCGACAGGCCTACTAGGTCTACTTTCAGACTTCTCAGTTTAAATCAGTTACACATAATATATTATGAAACATTTAAAACAAAAAGTATGATGAGGAATCTGCATTATTTTTCTCAGACTTGACATTTACTCCCTCCCCCCCCTTACCAGGTGACGTCTTTTCCAAATGAAAAATCCAACACAGCCAATGAGAATGAGAACAGTCACAATTGGACCAACAATAATATCAAGGGTTCTATCTGAAACATGAATGTATATTATATTATATTATATTATATTATATTATATTATATAACTTCAGATCACAGATCACTCACTTCTCTTACCTGACAGGACTCTGCGATCAGACACTGGTAGCTCTTTCTCCAAGCTGCTGTGCTGAATCACACAGCTGAACTCATTCCTGTCCAGCTTCTCCGGTGAGACTCTCAGAACGCTTCTCTTCTGGAACGTTCCATCCTGGTTGGGTAAGGTTTCTCTAAGCTCCACGTCCTCATGCAGATACTCTCCATTCTTCTTCCAGGAGATCACCACTTCCCTGGGGTAGAAACCTGTAGCATGACACACCACTGGAGAAGAAGAGTCTTTCTGGAACAGGTCCACCTCAGGAAAGACTAGAGAGACAAGGGGGCAGAGGGGAGGAAATAATAACAACAACAACAATGACAACGACAACAACAACAACCAAACCAAAATTCTGAGGAGGAAGCTTAATGAATAATTGAATATTGTGAAGTGTACCAATACATATATCATAACACAGAAAGACAGCAGAGCATCTGCAATTATGTTATAATTATATTTAAGAAAAATGATCAAGTAACTTTTTTTTATTCCTTTAACAAAGAATAAAATAATCTTGTTGCTATGGTTAATTGTAACAAACCATATCGAATAGTTTCCTCCTTTGTTTTCATTAAAAGTGCTGTAAACACTTTCTATGAATACCATGTCTATGAGCATTTATAAACACATTCATAACATGTTATAATGCATTCAGGTATTATAAACATGGATATAAATATTTATACAGATTAATTACACTTTATAGCCATGTTTATTATGCATTATGAATTGTTAAATATGATGCATTATACAGTGCTGTGAAAAAGCATTCGCCCCTTCCCAATTTCTTCTATTTTTGCATATTTGTGACACTTTAATGTTTCAATTCATCAAATTACTTTTAATATTAGACAAGCATGACCCATGTAAACATAAAGTGCTGTTTTTAAATGATGATTTCATTTATTGAAGGAAAAATGCTGTTCAGCCCTACCTGGCCCTATGTGAAAAAGTAATTGCCCCCTTAGCTACTAGATCAACCAGTTAACCAAATTCAATTGACTATTAGGGTTTAATTTCACCAGCCACACCCAGGCATGATGACTGCCAGACCTGTTGAATCTAAACATTACGCAAATAGAACATTGTCTGGCAATGTGAAACAGGCTAAATGGTCTCTAAAAGCAGCACTTTCTAAAAGAGACTCAAATATAGATGCAAAACAAAGCCAATGAAATCTACGAGTCTGGAAATGGCTACAAAGCCAGTGCTAAGGCTCCAGGACTCCAGTCAACCACAGTGAAAGCCATCATCCACAAAAGGAGAAAACGTGGAACAGTGGTGAACCTTCCCAGGAGTTGCCGGCCTACCAAAATTTCACCAAGAGCACATTGCTGCAAAGGGCAAAGCACTGCTGACCAAATAGAACACAAAGGCTTATCTTGTATTTGCCAAAAAAATATCTAGACGACACTCAAGACTTTTAATATAATACTCTGTGGACTGATGAGTCAAAGGTGGAACTTCTTGGAAGACATGGGTCCTGTTACATCTGGCGTAAAGCTAACACCGCATTCCACCATAAGAACATCATACCAACAGTGAAACATGGTGGTGGTAGTGTGATGGTTTGGGGCTGCTTTGCTTCTGCAGGACCTGGACAACTTGTTGGAACCTTGAATTCTGCTCTCTATCGGAAAATCCTGTAGGAGAATGTCCGCCTATCAGTTTGTGACCCACAGCTGAAGCACAGTTGTGTTATGCAGCAGGATAATGATGAGAAGCACACAAGCAAGTTCACAAAGTTAAGGTTTTGGAGTGGCCGAGTGAGAGTCCTGACTTGATTCTCATTGAGGTGTTGTGGCAAGACCTTAAACAGGCAGTTCATTCTCGAAAACCCTCCAATATAGCCGTATTAAAAATAATTCTTCAAAGAAGAGTGAGCCAAAACACCTCCACAGCAATGTAAAAGACTCATCGCAAGTTATTGCAAACGTTTGATTGCGGTTGTTACTGCCAAGGGTGGCACAACCAGTTGTTAGGTTTAGGGGGCTATTACTTTTTCATATGGGTGATATGGGTTTTGAATAAATCTTTATATCCAAAAAATGGAATGATCATTTAAAATCTACATTGTGTGTTTACTTGTGTGGTCTTTATCTTATGTTAAAATTAGGTGGCTGATCTGAAACATTCAAATGCGACAAATTAGCGAAAATAGAAGAAATCGGTTAAAAGGCAAATACTTTTAATAACAATGTCAGTGCCAAAAACCTCACTCCCAGCTTGCACAGTGTAAAGTAAAGTGAGACAAATAAGTTTATTGATGTCATGGCATTTTTACTATTTTGTTTCTCACCACGGGTGTTGTTAGGGCTCCACCCGAATATTCAAATGGCAGCCCCAAATAAGTTGTCCAGTACCGAGTTATTACAACTCTTTGCACCTTCCTTAACCATCGTTCTCAGTTTAAAAATGACATTACATCCTAGCAATCCAAGAACCCATCAGGCCCCTCCCCCTCTGACATCACCCTCTGGATGAAGTTACTGTGAAGCAAAGGCATGGAGAGAGAGGCATGTTATTGGAGTGCTAACATTGTAATTTGCTCCCTCACTGGTTCTAACATTAACCACTTGAAACCTTCACTCGGTAACATCGCTACACTGCACTACAGTAATGCTAATTTCTGCTAACATTCTATTAAATATGCAGTTTTAAGTCAGCACCAAGCTAACGATGGTGTACACTACCTGTTAAATTTCATGTAGAGTTTAAGATCCTTCTCTTATAAATCATTAAATGGCCCCGCAGTATCTTATTGAATTAATTCAGTCATATGAACCCACGCGTACGCTCCGCTCACAAAACAACGGCTTGCTGGCAGTTCCTAGAATTAGAAAAACCACAGCAGGGGCTGAGCACATTCCTATGTAGCCCCAAAATTGTGGAATCATCTCCCAACCTCTGTTCCTCTCAGACACACTCTCTACATTTAAAACTAGACTCAAAACTGATCTAGTCGCACAAGCATTTTGCTAATATCAGTTGTTGCACTATTACTCTCTAATATCTCTCCATAAACTGACCTGTCCTGTTAATCAATTTCTCTCCCTCCCTCCCTCCCTTTTTTTTTGAGCCCCTGAGTGACGTCTGCCTGAGTCGCCACATGGGATCCACCAGAGCTGCTAGTCACCAGAGCTCCATCTCCGTTGGCTGATCTGCACCGTATTGATCACCATGGAGCTTCACGCTGTACAAAGCTATGCAAACCTCACCTGCATAAACCGACCCTCCTGATGATGCTGTTGCTGCTGCATAAACTCAAGCTATCTAATTAACCATTGCTCCACCCGTTTTTCCCCGTTTTGTATTCTAATATTTTATACTAACGCTGTTTGCTATCCGGTATCGACCAGAGGAGGATGGGTTCCTCTTTTGAGTCTTGGTTCCTCTCAAGGTTTCTTCCTCTTGCTCTTAGGGAGTTTTTCCTTGCCACTGTCACCATTGGCGACGCTCATGGGGGCTTGGACCCGGATTTTTCTGTAAAGCTGCTTTGTAGCAACACTTGTAAAAAGCGCTATATAAATAAACTTTGACTTGGCTTGACTTACGAATGCATCGTAACATGTTATGAATGTGTTCATAGGTTCTTGTAGACATGGTTTTCTTAGAAAGTTCTACCAAAATGTTTTAATTTTATGAATATACTTCAAACCCTGTTATTTATATCTCTGTCAAGGTGTCTACCAGCTTATTTGGTTCCAAACCAAAAGAAACATTCATCTAATCTTCACTTGCTGCCAAGACCTTAAATGGCCATAGTCTCTATTAGCAAACTACATTTTCTTACTCCCATAAGATAAATCACATTAGTGATTGTTTGGTATTTCTGTAGATCAGAGGATATGAAAACACCTTACCTCTTCTCTCCAGAGTATCTTTGCCATAACTCACATACTTCTTTATAAGTTCAATACATGTGCTTTCCAAGTATCTTGTCCACATATTGGCAAGTAAAGTTGTTGTCTCCCACTTGCTTTTGGTAATAACAGCTTTAGTGTTAGCTGCAGTCCAGGTGAGAGTGTTTAAATCCAAACTGATGAAGTCTTCTCCATCATAACCATGCTGCAAATAGCCTCTTCTTGTGCCATCATCATCCAGCTCACAGCCAATCATAGATTGAAATGTGTGAATTCCTTTGGGCGGAAAAAGACCACAGTTATTGTTTGTACTTACATCATTTCCACTGTCTCCACGTTTCTTATTGCTAGTCTACAAGTTACACAGTGTTTGTAGCTTTTACACACAGTTTTTGGAGTTAAGTGAATAGGTGTGACGTTAAAGAACAAAGTATGTTTTTTTTTTATTTTTCTTTCCCAAGTTGGATCCTCAAACTGGATAGTCTAAACACAGTAGAGATAAATCCAAACACAACTCTAAATTAACTATTATGGTCATAACATACATCCACTAGTGGGTCTAATGGACTATGTAAAACAATTCTGTGTGAGCTAGTTAGAAGATCAGTCATTGTTGACTCAATCTTACTGTACAGTATAATGGTAAAATAATATAATAGTCTCCCCTAGAAATACATTTAAGAGAGGAGAGCTTTAAGGGGGTTGATGACACAAATACAAATACAACATGTCCTAACTGTCTCTACATTGAGCGGGATAAAGTTGAACAACATAGTAGTCGGAAACATATGATGACAGTTCCAATACTATTGCAGTTCCTGTGCAAGAGTTATGTGAGTACATTCATGAAACAAAGAATGATGCAGCTCAAGACCAAGCTGCTGTCTATCAGACACTGACTCAGTCTGCTGCCCAAACTCAGTTCTAACAGCCTCTCAGTCATCCAGTCTCAGTTCCACCAGCCTACTGTTCAGCATCAGTTTCAGCCTGATCTTCACCCATATGGTTACATGTAAGCTACTTATCCCTACCTTTGTCGGTAGCCTTGGCCTTATTACAATCCATACACTCTTAAAAAATAGGGCAGATGTAAATAGCCCACGACAGTGCTTTGTCAAAGCACATGCGAGTGGTGTGGAGCAATGCAGTTAACACCTATGGTTGAAAATGAATCACACTTACATTAAGAGCAGCCCACTAAATATGGGGAAACACTGTTATACAAGAGTCAGTTTAGGCAAAATGATGGTGGAGCTCTTTACAGCATGTACTCTCGTAAGTGTAGATGAGCATCAGTGTCTGAATATCAAAACGCTGAACAGCATATATGTTCAGCTGACTAGCACTCAATCAGCAGTCAAAAGCAAAGCATTATTTCCAGTGCAACCATTTGACGTTACAAGCCAAAGTGTAATAAAAATGGCAAACTGAATAGCAAGATTTTTTGCAATTTTATAATAAATTTTGCTTTGTGTGTTAATATTTTAGTAGTTTGTGGCATTTTCACCACATTAAGTTCAAAACGCCTTACAAGCTGGGGTTCCTTTTAACAAATATGGTATGTATTTATGCATGTATTGAATGATACCTGTAGTCTGGTTGTAGCGCTTCATTAGAACAGCCACGCTTGTTTTGAAGATTTCCTGAAAATCCTTCTGAGTTTGGGTCCCTGTTGTCCAGTAATCTGGCCCCTCATTTTGCTCTATCCAATCCATTTTGGGGACCATCTTCTTAATGTTACTGTCATAATACACAAAAGGCTCTCCATCCATCAGACCTACAAGTGTGTATTCTGGGAAAGGTACTCCAGCTGTGACACCAGTGGAGATGTGCTTAAGAGAGTGTGAGCCTATCCGGTAAAAAAATAAATAAATAAATAAATAAATAATAATTGGAGAAAGAGAAATTATTGTTTTACCTCTCTGCATGTTTCATTACAAAGAGAGCATTAGTCCTGTTTAATTGGATTCAGTGCAGCACAGTATGTGAAATGTTCTATAAAAATAACGGTGTTGTGTTTGATAGAAGTGTTTAACTATAGTGGTGTACGCTTCTGTTCCACTTTACCAAATCCTAGAAACTTAAAATTTCATCATATATATTGTGTATTATGAAAATGTCTTTAGTGTCATGACATCATATTTTTGACACATTGCTCAGCTCTACTCTGCGGTACTGCTACCAATCTCGGATTGACACTACTGCCCTAGAATATAACTGGGATTAGTCAAGTAGAAGCTAACGTCACACCTACTATTCATAGCTAACAAAACTAAATAGTTGACATACTATTAATACATGTGAGCTTTGGAAGTTCTGATAATTAGAAGGATATTTTACAGCTTTAAATGCTCAAAAAAATCCTCAAAGATCTCGTGGGTCTGGTGCCGATATTGTGAGACTAACATGGATGGACAGGAGTTTTTAGAGGCAGACAGATTCCGCCAGCACAGTGTTTTCCAACCTTGGTCCTGAAGCACCCTCTCCCCTGCATAGAGGTGAACAACAACCCATTTCTTCAGATGTATGCAAGACTCAGTTTATTGCCCCCTAATCTTGCGGTAACTAAACCCTTTTCTGTTTGGTGTTGCCTTATGGCAACAATGACTTGATTTTTATTATTCTAGGAAATGGAAAGCTTCATACACTTTTTCAAATCACGTTATCCTGTTGCAGTCTGTACTTGTTTTTTCAAACAGCACATGGTGAGGTCCAGCATTTGAAGCACTCTCAAAGTATGCAAATGTTTGAATATTTATACACAACAAACACAGAAAAAATCTGTGGGAGGCTACATTTCTTACTAATACTTAAAACTAGTTTAGATCATATAACATAAATAACATGATAAAATATAATTGTAGTCATATGGCAACAGCATGGGACTGCAATTTGCAACGTATACAAGAATGAATAAGTACACTGCTGAGTAAGCACACTGCTATTGGACACTGCCATTTTCACAACCTTTTTACATTCCAAGCTGATGGTTTCGTTTTCAGAAACCTTTTTGGAAAGGTTCTATATAGCACTAAAAAGGATCCATTTTGGTGCCATGTAGGACCCTTTACAAAACGTTTCTACATACAACACATTCTCCATCAATCTGAAGAACCATTTCACCATGCAAAGAACTTTTTAATCAAGCAATGCCGAGTCCTTCCCGCTTCCTTGTTTCCTCGTCTTCGCTACCTATCGCCGACCGAACTAACACACAGCCCCGAGTCTCGGCAAGACCGCGACGAAACGAAGCTTAAGTTTTACACAAAGTTGACAAACTCACCTGACCATGCCAGCTGGATACCAACTGCAGCAAAAACCAGAGATTCTAACGCTTTTCTGTGATCCATCTCAGTGATGTCGGCAGGTATTCGAGATGACAACAGTAGCACATTTATCAACAATGCCTGCTTTACTACGGAGAGTTGGCTGCTTGACGTCATTATTATTTTTCCCTCTGACAAGTCCCGCGCCCAATAATATAATAGAGATGAACTGCCAATCAAAAATTGCAGTGGCTAATCACAAGAGTGAATTACCTGTCTCTCATTTTGTGCATATATTTACATATATATACGCACAACATGTAATTCGTTCCTGTACTTTTTTCATGTGTCTTTATCGAAGTATTTCTATTTTGGGCAACTTTTTTTTTTACAAGTATCTTCTTTTTTACTCCACTAGATTGTGTGAAGTCTATCTTTCTTTTTGTCTTATGTGTGCATGTGTACATGCTTATATGTACATGCTTAGGTCACTTTGGCAGGTAAAGCAGGATGGGGTTCATACAAACACTGACTAACCATCACACATAAATGCATTAGTGAACTGATAGAATATGTTCTTCCTGACTTTGTGGGTAAATACATGAACACAATATAGAAATATGTGCACATATGCAGTTGTGACTGGTGTGTGTCTTTTCTGAGTTTATACGAACACGAATTCATTTTATAGTAAATTTGTTTTGGCTAGTTTGTTTATGAACAGAGACATATCTAGAATATAGTAAAAGAAAACTCATTTGTGAATCTGAGTTTAAAGCAAGTTTTTCATTAAACTTAAACTTGTAACTGAGTTGCAAATAAATCTTAAACTGAAACTTTGAGTTATTTCAGAGCCACTCGGTTCTACCTAATGGAAACTGTTTGCCTTCAATGTTTTGTGCTTATGATAATTTTAATAGACATCAGCGTCAGACTAATTAATGACATTCTGTTAAAAGACTGGAGATCCAAGAGTGACACTGGAGTCTTTTCTCCTAAAATAAGTTGATTAAGCAAGAGTCTTGTTACAGAAATGATAACAGGACGTTAGAGTAATAAACAATAAATCATGGTACTTTTACTTTTGATACTTATTTGAGAATAAATACTATTGTACTTTTACTCAAGGTATAAAGGGAGGACTTCTACTTTACTGGAGTAATAGTTTACCTTGGGGATCTCTACTTTAACTCAAGTACATGGTCCACCACTGGATATATTTTGAATGATTAAGAAGTCTTTTGTGAATTATAATTGATAGATTGATAGATAGTATAGACTTCCCTAACTTATGAAAAAACTCTATATACCATCTTACTGTGTTTATATTGCGCATAGTTTCTATTTGATAGCATCATCTTGTGTAATACCCATTACAACACCCATCCGTCCAGCCATCTTCTTATCCGACTCTTCCTGGCCAGGGTTGTGGTGGGTCCAGAGCCTACATGGAATCATTGGGCGCAAGGCAGGAATACCCCTGGACAGGGCACCAGTCCATCGCAGCCATTGCAACATATTAGTCATACTCCCTAAATATTCCATACTTTTGATTATACATTATAATAAGTTCTCTCAGATTTTGCATCTGTATCCCCTTTTTGCTTCTCATCAGCTGCTGCCCATAGAATGTTGTAAAATGAAAGAGAAAGACTCCATAATAGCATTCATTTTAGATTTTTTTTTTTTACATGTTACAAAAATAGTTAATTAATTAAAAAAAACACACAACACAGCACCATGTGGTGGGGGTTCTGCAAGCTTCCACTTCCATATTTGTGCTTTCCTTCCTTCAACATGATCTCCAAAATCCAGATGCCAAATTCTTCTCTTTCACTAAAGCCATACGGAATATTAAGAAATATATAACTTCAACTAAGCATTCATTGAGTTCATTAACATTTATTTAGTTAATATTTTATAGTAGATATTTAATAGTGGTAATAGAAAGTTTTTATATATATATATTTATATAGAAAGTATATATATATATATATATATATATATATATATATATATATATATATATATATATATATTTTAAACTTACCTCTGCATGTATACTGGACCATCAAGGAATTTCTGTTCTGCTTTGGGAGAGGAAACTCCTTCTGTCTGGATCAACATTTCTATAATGGCCTTTCACAAAGCACACTCTGTTAGAACCATGAACAAAAACATGTTCAGTAGAACAGTTTTGTCAGCAATTCTAATTGAACAAACAACAAACAAATACCTTTGGCATGAGAACATCCAAGGTACATTTTACTCTGTCCAGAGTTGAAATTGGTCTAGCAAATAAAATTTATGCCATAAATTAATGTGAAAATCCATCACAAACCAAGCAGCTGTTTGAGCTTCTTGCTATCATCAGTGCTCATGAAACAACTCTTTGGACCTACTTCTTATGAAGACCCAACCTAATGACCCTCACCTGTGTAGGTTCAGCTAGGAACTACTTAAAGTTACACTGCAACAATTGGAAGATCCAGTTAATTTCATTAATAAAAGTCACACCTGTCAAATGCATTCCAATGTACATGCTAATGCATTAACCGAAAATAGTTATAATAGTTATAAAAAATGTTATAATACTGAATAAGGAATGAAAGAGGACTTGTACTTGTTCCTCCTACAACCTGGAACCCTAAAACACTTCCCAGATGGCAACAACTGGAACTACACAGGCAACACATGAGAAAAGTGTAAACTCCACATTTCTTACCACCTACCACTGCATCTTGTTGAGCTGTGAGGTTTTGGTTCCAGATGTGTCTTCTGGCATCAACATCTTTCAAACTGGTCACAACACCCCTTGTGCTGACAAGAGCACCGTCTACAATAGGACAAATAAAAAATGATAATCATTTTAATAATAATCAAATTAGAACACAGGATACTAACAACAAATATTTTTTCCTACTATTATATTACCTAGCATTGTATCTGTTGTGCTTTAGGACAACAGTTTTGTTGCCTCACGAATCGCCTCGCAATTTGCCTCACAGGAAGCAGCCACCTGTTCCCCTAAATAAAGAAATATATTATTACCATGACTCAGTAGTTCAGAATCCACTGAAACAGCCCACTTAACACACTATTAACAAGTTCCCAATGCAAGCTCTTTCATATGCATCAAAGTAAATGCATTGCTGTACTGCTTTCTGGATCTGATCAAGTCTTTGCTGATTTTTCTTTTCATTTGCACGGTGAATAATTGATCAAATTAGGAAGACCTGAGTTGCTGGATTCGTCATATTAAGAACGTGATTGTTCCGCTCCATCTTTGCAAAAAATTGTTCTGCGACCTGGCTGTTTACCCGACCCACAAGCTCTGGAACAAGGTTGATTTGGCGAAGCAAGTCCTTGTCATCTTTTGTGATTGATTCATGCAAAGTGTCATACAAGACATAGTTCTGCAGATCCAGTGAGCAGATGGCTATGAGCATCAGGCAATCTTTTTTTCTCAAGAAGCCATGGAAGATTTACTGACAGTTTTTTGTCTTTTGCAAGCTTTATGTTGTCTTCTGTTGGCTCCAGCAGTCGCCCTTCATGTGGACCAAATGGAATCCTTTGTGGTTCTCGAAGATTCCCATGTATTGCTAGTCCTCTTGCAGAATCAAAAATAACAATGTTGGGCATGTGTTTCCATGATAGAAGTATATCCATGTAATCTCGTGGATTCTCTGAATGTAAATTAAATTTAACAGAGTAGACAATTCCACAGGGGCACTTTACCACTGCCCAGCCACCTACATGAAAGACAAATTTTGCCATGTGTCAATAATAAGAAAACTAAGAAATAAAATAAAAAAAAATCAGTATTATAAAATGAATTTTAATTTAGTTTTTCTTCTAAATATTCATTACTTCTTTACAGAAATCATATTTTTATGTATACTACATAAATAATAGCCACCAATACAATTACAAATTAACTCTTTGCTGAAGCACCCCAAATTTTCTCAAAGATTTTGTCATACTTTTGTCTCGATTTAATTTCATCTTGCAGATGAAGTATCAGGTCCATTTTTGAACCTGAGCTGTCCAAGCCACTCTCTTTACATAAATTTTTAATGGAATCAAGCTAAAAAAAATATGTATATATAATTAACAAATATTCACTTCACTCTCAACCTGTTGTACTGTACATCCAATCATACAAAAAAGGTACCATCACCATGATCTAACCTTTAATGTCATGACTTTGTTCAAAAGTCGGTCTTCAGTGACTGACACATCTGCTTCCTCTGCTGGCTGTCTTGGATGATGAATTTCTTCCCATTCTGTGTTCAGTACTAGATTGGAATGCTGTGTATGTTCACCAATCCAGGGAGCCCAAAGTTCGAATGTAGGTTTTATAGCGCATGGATTCTGTGTGGTACCTGTAGAGAAAATAAGGTTATAAGAAGTCCTACACAACACCAGCAAAAATTACAAATGATATAGACTGCAGCAGTTCTTACTGGAAACAAAGCCATGTGCAATCATTTGCAGAGAGAGAGAATCCCAAAAGTCTTTCACAGTGACTTTGCCCAAATAGCCATCAAGGGGGTTTTAGATGTTGCTAACTGTTAAAACATGACCAACTTTACTCTTGCAGTTTAAATGTTGTTTTCATAATACAATAAAGTAATATGAAGTATTAATACTCATAGTCAGAATTTAGGTGTACTTGCCAAGGATGTTAAACACCCCTTTCTTATAGAGATCCGTTATAACCACAGGTGGATGGTGACCACATTTTACACAAGAAAACTTGTAGTCATGGGCAGTAAGGGCCTCAAAATGCTGATATGCATGAAGAAGTTTATTGTGATTTGGGAGGGTAATCCCCAAGGACTGCTCCATTGCCTCAAAAACTCTGCTTAAGGCATTGTAAGTCTGAAAGAAGAAATAAAAACCCGAATGTAAGTAAAATTGTATAGTAAAATATTTGTAAACAAATATTTGTTAGACAAAAGTCACATGCAATAGTACTATTCCTCTAGCTGGATAGAGGCTCTCAGATATAAACAGAAATGTAATCCAAGTAGTATGTGGTCATCATAGTCATGTACGCTATCTGTCCATTCCTGATACCCATACGTCATTCCACAGGAGGTACAATGCTTGCAAAATGTGGACAAATCTATAGTGCAATTATAAGAAAAAATCATTGTATTTGGCAAC